AGAATGTGAAACGGGCATAAGCAACCCCGTGAGAAGTTAGGGAGATAAACGAGGCAGCGTGGATTTATGGGTGGAGGAGAGCGGGTGGGTGGGTCAGCGAAAGAGAGAGAGAGAGAGAAAAAGAGTGAGATCGTATAGACGGGAGAGCACGTGGGCGCCTAACGAAAATCTTTGATTAATTTCCTACTGGAAGAATGAGGGTTGCGAGTAAAGGCGGCTCGTCACGCTTTCTCATTCTCGTGCTTGGGCTCTCTCTCTCTCTCTCCCTCATCTCGTTATGGCGCGAAACTATAAAAAAAAAAAAAAAAAGATAGCGGAATTTACACCGAGAAAGAAGTACACGCATCGGACGCAGTGGCGCGCGCGTCGAATCTTCCACGACAGCCAGTAGGTGTATTACGAGTGATTACGAGTGAAAATAATTATTCAATGATAATCGTCGATCGCAATGAATCGTGATAAGTTTGTTAATCTCGCGTGGTGATATGGGACAGATGCGTATGTCTATGAGTTTTCACGTTATATCGCATGCGTGACGTTTTCTTCCTTCTTTGTTCATTTCTTACGTATTTTTCTTTGTCCCTCGAAAGGTTCGATCGTCACCTGGATAAGCTCGCTCTCGTTAGGGTAATATTGATTTGATTTTTTTTTTGTTCCACGCAGCTGTATTAACTTAGGTTAGACGAGGCATTGACAAACGATGGAAGAATACAGATAAGACGGCATGGCTGATCGGCTGATTGGTTTTTACTTTTTTTTTTTTCACGTCAGAGAGATGAAGAATGGAAACGAGCGAGAGAGAGGGAGGGAGGGTAGTAGAATATAGAGAGAAATTCTAAATCGATTCACGTTATAGAGTGTGTTTACCTTAAAACGTAGAAAATCGTATAAAAGGCACGAATTCTACAGTCGTCGTTAATAATATACAGAATGGAGGGCTTTCCGGAACCCTTAAGGGTTTGAAGGAAAGAAAGGGTAACGGAGGCAGAGAAGTAGAACTAAGGAGAGAGAGAGAGAGAGAGAGAGAGAGAAAATAAACGAAAGAAACTTCAAGGATACTAGCGGCTGTCATCGTCAACGTCTTCATCAACGTCGTTTACTCCTGGACCACGAACGAACCTCAGGTTATTCTGCTCCTGGCCGATGTCACTCCATTATCTTCTCACTCTGTCTTCTCTGGCAAATGGATAACAGCAGAGTCGCGTCGAGAACGAGAAGAAAAACAATTGCAAGAGGGAGAGGGAGAGAGAGAGAAATAGGGAGGAAAAGATAAGAAGAAATAAAAAGTAAAAAAAGATACAAAGGAACGACCAAGAGAAGAGTAATGGACGTGTCCTAAATTTCATGTGGAAAATAGACAATCACTTAACAGAGGATATAAAAAGAGAATGCATAAAGAGTGAAAACGACCTGGAGAAATATCCACGAGACAAAGATAAGGAACCCACGGGTCTCACGTGGATCGACAAAAATCAGAGTCAAAAAGGAAAGACCAATCAATTCGAAAATTTCATGCATAATTAATCGTCCAATCGAATCGATAAGTCTCCAATCATCATCGCCGTGTACAAGAATTTCAACGCTTTATCGTGAATCAATAATAGTGATACATTATACGAAATCCCCTCCCGACCCTCCCGGTAGCCCGGCTCTCAAAAACGCTCAAGGCTATACGATTAATAACATCGATAATTTCTTTAACTTTTATTACCTAATTTTAGCACTCAGGGTTCGCAGTCATAGTCATCGTCCTTGATAGACAATTTTTTTTATTATTATTCCTCAATTCTTATTATACCCATAACTTTATCACCCACTCCTACCGTCCACGTCCACCATTTCTCTTGTAAAACTCCCAACAACGCCCTTCGACCCCTTCGCTCTACCTATAAGCTTCATTCACACTCCTTTTCTCTCTCTCACTTCCACCCTCGTCACGGCATTGACTAATATTCCATCGTAAGAGATTACACACGTGATTGCCTTTATTACTCTTTAATTATCCTTCTTGAACTCGTCGGGCTTAACTCATTGAGTATATGTATATATATTTATATATATGTAATATATAAATATAAATATCGGATATTCGCGTCGGTACCAGAAGGATCGCATACAAAGAACGTAATTAGTAGACGATATACATGGGGCAGGGAAGGGTGGTTAAAAGATCAGGGAGCAGGCATTACCAAGTAAATACACAATAGCGCGGACGCGTCTGTGCTTTATCAGTTTTTACACGATATCACGTAATTAAGCACAGACGCGTTAACGCGCCTTACAATACGCACTCGTCGCTCGCATACAATTCGCAGTTCCTCGAGATTACGTGCATCGGGACACGTGAGAGAGGCGGTAGAAAAAATTACATTCCCACAAAGAATACACGAGGTATGGGGTCCTTTACCTTGAATCGTCATATTTATCATTCAATTCCCTTTCTTCCCCTAATCATCAATTTAAACCCCTTTTGACCTTACAACGTATCTCCGGATAATTCAATTCCCAACCACCCTGGGATTCTCTCATGGGAATGCGACATACACCCTAAATACGTACTTTATACATCATCCTCAGAGGCTCCTAATGGTATTTAATTAATAAACGCTTGTCCACGAACAAGAACACGAAACACTTTGATAATTGCTACACGTAATCGCCTCTTAAGATTAAGGATTAATTATCATGTATCATTTATTCCTTTGTCTTGTATTATGGTACTTCATTCGTTCGAAATCTCTTCGTTATTTTATTACTTTCTCTCTATACTCCTCTCTTTCTCTGACGCACAGCCCAACAACTCCTGGCGCCATCTACTAATTGTTTGGTTATAAAGAGTCGTCACGTTCTCTCTCTCTCTCTCTCTCTCTCTCTCTTACACACACACACTCACTCTCTCTCTCTCTTTCTCAATTTCCCTCCTCGACCATTGCTTAACGCTCTTGTATAATACTAATCGAAGGGAAAAGGAGAAGAGGAGAAAGAAAATTGTGAAATATTATTTTAAACTCTCTTTCATGCGAATACATCATCCAGCCGTACATTATATTCACAGGTCGTACTGTCGACTGTACGCGCGCACTAGACTACTAATGGTACCGCGCCGTTTCCGGTTGAGTTAACGTGCCCTTGAGAGACAGTGAAGAATGACGAAGTAAGTGATTAACAGCCGCCATGCCCATATTTCACGAACGAAGGCGATCGTGAGGTCTCTCGTCTGACGTCATATTAAAACAAAACGATACATCGATCGAAAGAAGTCAGCCATTTTGGTATTAGTTCTTAAAAAAAAAAAAAAAAAAAAAAAAAGCCTG